AAATTATTGGCTAAAAGGTTTTCTGTGATGCCGTTAATCTCCAATTCTTGGCGAGATGAGAAATATGAAATGAGGATAAAAGATGAGAAATAGAGAATGAATAAGGGGCTGTGTAGTATAGTGGATAAAGTACTGGACTAGGGCTCAGGAGACAAGTTAACTTAGTTCAAACTGCTGCTCATGCGGGGTGGATAAAAATCAATGATTTTTAAAAAGAAACTATTTAAATCATGATGTGATTTAAATCAAATCTAACCTGCCACTCAGCATGGAGACTCACTGGCAATGGTAAACCACTGCTTGAATATTACACTCAGAAAATCTGCTTGGTCACACTAAGTCAGAAACAACTTGATGGCACATAACAAAAAATGAAGTGACCCTCTCCTACCCACAGTACTTAAAAATAGGTTTCCCATATCAATATACTCTCTAAACTGAAAGGCTAACTGAGTTGAGTCTAATGATGCAGATAAATGCATAGCCTTACAGACAGTACCAACCTACCCATGCAAATAATTGTTTGTGCAACACCCCACTTCTTATGATTGCCATTAATTGCATAAGCTAATTCAGGAGCAATCATGTCAGTTGTTCTAAATATAGTCTTAAGGAGCTTTTTTCCCCTCCTTTTTTTGCTGCAACCTAACCAAGGTGGTATTTTAAAAACATTTTTTTTCAAGAGTCCTTTAAATGAGACACCAGCTCTCCTTCACAAACATACAGCTTTAAGATGTATCAATATTCTATTGAGTCCCACAGACAATGCTACCTGTCAATTCCAAAGAATTAAAAAATAATAACAACTAGCCAGAGACTCACTGAACTTTTAATAGCTACTGACACAGCTGAGAACCCACAAAAACCTGTAACTGTGCTGGGAAATATGTGGTCCTCCAAATGTGGTTGACTTGCTAATGTTCCCTCTAATTTTCAGCTCTGCTGGGTGGGCTCCACCCTCACGTGGGTGGCTCTTCTCCCTCCTGCAAGTGTGGGCCCGCTCCCCCCACAGGGTTCCATCCCAACAGGAACCAAAGGGGCTGAAAATGATCACTGTCGGTGTGTGGAAGAGGAGTTCTGCATGGGGGTGGGCAGAGTTGCACATGCGCATCTTGGAGGGAGCCTTGACCATTATCATTTGCCTCAATCAGCAACATCAAAGATTTTGAAAGCTGCAGCCCAGCAACCTGTGACAGAACATTCTTCAGTTCAACAGGTATGAAACACCCAGAAATTTCAGGTGTCTCTTCTGTTGATTATTACAGCCTATCTAAATTGCTGCCTGGATCAGAAATGACTATTGTTTGTGCCAAGTGAATTCCCAAGGTGATACCTCAAACAGATGACAATTAAGAGGTGACATACATCTTCTACAGAAAACTGACATATTAGCAACACCTATGATACATTTCAGCTCTACAAAGACAAAACAAGATTCAGTAAATCTACAGGAATTCATAGCAGGATGGATAAAAAATCAATGATTTTTTTGAAAAATCAAATTGATTTAAATCACAATTTCAATTGTCAAAAAAATCCTATTTTTAAAATTTAAATTGTGATTTAAATCCATTTGATTTAAGTCAAATCCACCCCGGTTCACAGTATTACTACTTTTAATGAAAATGACAAGTTTTGTTAGTGGTTAAGGTGCCAACTGAGGGACGTGGTGGCGCTGTGGGCTAAACCGCAGAAGTCTGTGCTGCAGGGTCAGAAGACCAGCAGTTGTAAGATTGAATCCACACGACGGAGTGAGCTCCCATTGCTTGTCCCAGCTCCCACCAACCTAGCGGTTCGAAAGCATGGAAATGCAAGTAGATAAATAGGGACCACCTCGGTGGGAAGGTAACAGCGTTCCGTGTCTAAGTCGCACTGGCCATGTGGCCATGGAAGATTGTCTTCGGACAAAACGCTGGCTCTATCGCTTGGAAACGGGGATGAGCACCGCCCCCTAGAGTCGATCACGACTGGACAAAAATTGTCAAGGGGAACCTTTACCTTTACTAAGGTGCCACTGTTGTTTCTGTTACTGCAAACTGATAGGTCTAGTTCTGCAAAATTTATCACTATTACTAAGACTTAGACAACATATTTGTGAGCAGCTCATCCATGCTCACAAAAGATCTTGCATTCACCATGCCCAAGATCCTACTCAGGGAGAACAGAGCAGAAGGGAGAATGATGTAAGCATCTCCCTTCCTGAGGCTCACCACCATGCAACTGGGCATCAACCTGTAAATCCAGGAAAACCAAAACTTGTTCACCTTCCAGAGTATCCAACATCTATTACAGAATTCCACTATATAAAAAATCCAGTCCTGCATCAATAACTATATTGTGTCAGCTCCCAAGGGTCTTAATCAGGATTGTACTTAGTAAAGTACAATAAAAATATGCTGCCTGTTTATCAAACTATTTTGGACACTTAAAATCTGGCTAGAGACCACCTGGAGGTACTCAAGTACATTTTCTGCCTTGACATGCCATACAAATTATACAGTAGGAAGTCAGTGGCAAATTTGTATGGTCTCTCTGTAGTAGATACAAGATACAATTCTTTATCTCAAATGATGAAATTTCAGTGGGATAAAGAATCTTCTCTCCAACAGTCAAAGTCATTAGCTGAAAGCTTTGAAAGTGATCACATATTCTTGGGCTAGCACAACTAAGAGAATAAAGAGAGAGGGAAAGTGTTTTGCCCTGATTTAAATCAACCAGGAAATCCAATAAGTGTTTTTTTATTTATTTATTTACAAGGTTTTTTAGCCGCGCCATTACCAGTGGTCTATGGTCTGCTTGTTCCTATCTTATCAGATGGTGGATGTCATATGGATGAATTGCTGTACAGCAATGACAATACAATAGTCCAATACAAGCCCTCAAATACTATGACTGTGCAGAATCTGTTACTAAATATTCCATTCCATGTGGCTGAGGAAGTTAATCACAATCTGCTGAAGCTCATGCTGAAATAAATTTGTTAGTCCTCAAATTGCCCATGAGAAAGGGGGTGGGTTTGAGGAGGGCTTTTTAACCCATAAAAACATAAAAAGTAAGGTTCGAAAGAAGACTTCTGTAGTGGAAGAATTCTTGAGGATGTGCAATCTATCCAAGTATAACAGTATGATGTTCAGTGCTTGGGCAGAATCCAGGTTTCAGCAATACCTTCATTCGCAACATTTTACCTTCCTCCATCATGCAAGCGAACTGGAGGTATTCAATGTTTGGAAAACAATAAAACTGTGCACTTGGTGACCCCAGTGGTGCAAGGCGGGGGAGCTAAACCTGCTTTGTGAACCTAAGGGACGTGGTGGCGCTGCGGGCTAAACTGCAGAAGCCTTTGTGTGCTGCAGGGTCAGAAGACCAGCAGTCATAAGATCGAATCCACGCAACGGAGTGAGCTCCCGTCGCTTTGTCCCAGCTCCTCGCCAACCTAGCAGTTCCAAAGCATGCAAATGCGAGCAGATAAATAGGTACCACCTCGGCGAGAAGGTAAACAGCGTTCCGTGTATAGCAGCGCTTGCAATGTGACAACGGAAGCTATCTAGGGACAAACGCTGGCTCTACGGCTTGGAAACGGGGATGAGCACCACCCCCTAGAGTGGGACATGACTGACTAAATGTCAAGGGGAACCTTTACCTTTTATTACCAACCTAGCCAACTATACTTAAGACCTGCACCAAGTCCAGTTTTTCAGCAAAAACCAAACCAACAAGGGGCCAGGCCCTGATCCCTGGCAATGCACTATGATGGTTAAGGTGAACTGGAACACGTATTCTCCACGTATAAGGACGAATGCTTGTGAGCTGGGCTGAAGGTGATTGTTCAAGCTTGTTCTTTTCCTTGCCACATCCACACTCGTTTATTAACTAACCTGATACTCACTCACTCCCAACTTAGGTAAAGTAATAACAATCTCCTGCCTGGGAGAACCCATCACCCTATCTCAATACTCATGGGGGTGGGGGGGGAAGTGTACCTGACCTCAGGGGGACTCTTGGAATATAATTCCTCCCAAACGGGGTGAAACACACAGCCCAACTCTCAACCTGAAAATCCGACAAAGCAGGGCTGCCATTATGAGTCCCTCGGCAAGACCCCGGGGGTCCTGCGCCAAGGATGCCCTCGGATGCCAGCTCGAATCCGGTGCGCCGCCCTCCCCGGCACTCTTGTTCCCCCTCCGCCTGAACTCAGCGGCCAGGCTTCCTTCTGAGGACGCGGGGCCCGGCCTTTGCAGCCGCCTCCCGGCTGTCAGGGCGAAGAGGCTGACTTATGGTGACCCTCATTGCATTTTTAAGACATGTGAGATATTCCAAGTCAGTCCTCAGTGAATTTCCATGGCTGAGCAGTGATTTGAAGTAATCTGAGTGATCTGAGTCTCCTGGCCCTTGTCTGATACTATACCCAACACATCACCCTGGTAACAACCTAAGGGATGTAATTGCTTTTAATATAATTTGACCTCATTCCTTGAGAGCCAAGGAAAGGAACTGGGTTCTCCTCAAACTGAGGGCAATCGCTGGAGCTCCTAAAAAGCAGAAGGAAGAGAAGTGTATAGTAAAGATAGAAATGATCTTTATTCAATTCAAAGGCAAATGTTGACATCATTTATCTTAGGCTCACAACCATGTCTCAAATAAGATTATGATACTACAATGAAATAGGAATATGAACTATTCCAGCAGCCTATGCACACATCAACTGAGTTTTGAGCTAAATTTTTATTAAGGAGATTTGAGGCAGATCAGTCCTTTACAATGTAGGGTTTATACACCCATCGCAGGATTTCAGTGAATAAGGTTTTATTTATCATCATCCTAAACTGAGCTGGGAAACGAAATTGTAACTCCGCCGCCGCCGCCGCCCCTCTCCTGGGCTCCGCCTGAGTCACTCCGGCTGAAAAAGGGGCTGTGTTGGGGGCTTTGATCCGGTCCCTTTCCTCCCTCCACAACCCGCACCACCACCGCCCCGGCTGCCATTAGCCTTTCCCCGGACTCACGATGGTGACGCTGGCCTTGCGCAGGTCTCGGTTCTCCTCCTGCAGGGCTTTGCACTTGAGCTTGTAGGTCTCCAGCTCGATCTTGAGCACCTTGTTCTCCTGCTGCAGA